GCAATAATGATAGTGATAATCACTAAGAATTTGCACATGAAATATTAGAATAATAACTTTTTCTGATTGTTTATGATAAGAAAATTCATAATTATACTATACTCTGCACCAAACATGATATATAAAATTTTCTATCAATTTTTTAAAACTATATTTTTAAAACTGTATTTAACAAAATTTTGATGTTCATAATTTAAAAAATGATTTTTTTGTAAAAAAAATGTATAATATTGTGTATATTAAATAATATTGTGTGTGTGTGTGTGTGTGTGTGTGTGTGTGTGTGTGTGTGTGTGTGTGCGCGTGTGTGTGTGTGTGTGTGTGTGTGTGTGTGTGTGTGTGTGTGCGCGTGTGTGTGTGTGTATGTGTGTATTATATAATATAGAGTGTGATCCATTTAACGCTGCAAATACTTCCTTGGTCAATCAAAAAAAAAAGAATTTTACAAATTGACCAATCGAAGAATATATCTGCTTCAAAGCATTTATTTGTAACATGAAATGGAATTGTATCCTTTTATTCATTCAATTAATTATGATTATGCCACATTTTTATTAGTTGTTTAGATGATTAATCCATAATAAAGTTTAAGAATAATACATACAAAGGGAAATCGAAAACAAAAGAAAGAGATTTATATAAAGAGTACAAATACGCTACAATATATTTCGTCGAAAAATAATATTTTTTTAGTTATTAAAAATATTATAAAATTGCATCTTGAGTTTACAAGAAAATGGTAGTAGATGTTTATTTATTTTCTGTATATTTAATGTTAAGGATTTAGTCTAACAATAATTTTTAAATTAATAATTTTAATGAATCAAAAATTTTAAGATTAATGAGAGTACAGTGCAGTTTATGATGCACAAATTCATATCAGAACATTTATTTTATTATAGATAGAATAATATCTTCATAATTAATTCCAAATTGAAATTGAATGTTTCACTTTGGAACTCTCTTCAGCAATATAAATACAGTAATATCAAAATGGTTCACCAGTTTATCAAAATAAAGTTACTGATTTCAAAAAATGAAGTAGTGTCTACTTTGAAAAATTACAATAAATTATAAAATTGATAATCTAATAATGTATTAGGTATCAAAGTGACTCACACTAACAAACTGAAAACATGTCAAGAAATTTAGATAAATTTATAAACTTAATAATTCCGCAAAGTAAAAATACATCATTGTCAATATATTTTGCTCTTTCGGAAACTAAATTATAACTATACATTTTTATCGAATTGACAAAAGTTGCAATGTAAACAATAATTAAAATATATATAAATAAAAAAAAAGAAAATCGATCTATAAATTTAATTAAATAGCACGCGATATCGCATTAATATTCGTTACACATATGGAATGCACTGTTACATATTGAGATATACTGTATACATCTACATCTATATCTCAATAAAATTTTATTTCTTATATATTCTTATGATATACTCAAAACATATATCAAATATACTGAGAATATATCTTATGGCTTACGGTATTACTTTCACGGATATTTTTTTTAGAGATGTTAAGGGATTTGCGGATTATCGCGGTGTTGTGATCTATTGGCAAACGTTTTGTAAACTTTATCATTCACTTCATCCAGGCGCATTTCCCAAATAACACAAAAGGTTTGTTAAATTATAACACAAGACTTAAGTCTTTTAGACGCAAAAAACTTTTTTGCGTCATCTTAAACACTTTTTGTTATCTGGATTTGTACTGATAAACTGCTCTCTTTTCGGATGACTCCCTATTTATATAAACTTTGTTAAAAGGAGGAGAGGGGAAGTCATGTTCTGTTTTGTCTTTTATTTATGTTATAGTCCATATCTCTTTAAGTTATCTGGATGTTTCTGGATTTCTAGAGTTTCCCTGGAACTTTCTTGGAAAATATGATGTAGATATAGTAGTCATTATATCAAATAATATGGTGGTGTCCTAACTTAATGCTATGTTCTGCCAATGCTGAATGTCTGAAACATTTCAAACTTGTCAGATTGAAATTAATTCCGCGTTTATCAACAATTGTCGATGTCGATAACTAATAATAATCAATAGACACGTTCAAATTGAGAAAGTAGCTAGCCTACGTACCGAGCAAATGAACAATAATTGATTGTTGTAAACCCAACCAATCACATTAAGTGCGTTCACAAGTAATTCAAAAGCCCGCTCATTGAGCGCCCAGGGCGCTCTTTCATCTGATTGGTCTATATTTTAGGATTTAACAAAATACGCCAATTAGATGAAAGAGGCTTTGGACCTTTAAAGTAGACAGATTGGTATTCCAAAAACCTAGCAAACTTTGATTTGATCATCCTGCCTTGAATTTCTGAACGCATTCATGTAAAAGAAAGCCTGTCCCAATTATTTATGTCGCGGTAATTTTGTACTTTCCAATAAATACGTAGTGATGGCCGTTTGACGGATTATTCGTGAGTACGATGACACGCGTCACATTTTTACATCCCGATCTCGGTATCGGTGGCGCGGAGAGACTCGTTGTCGACGCAGCTCTAGCATTGAAGAAGTATGGCCACGATGTAAATTTCGTGACAACTCATCACGATCCGGAGCATTGTTTCTTAGAAACTAAAGATGGGACGATTCCCGTTACCGTTGTGGGCAATTGGCTGCCTAGGCACATTCTAGGCAGGTTCTATGCGTTCTGTGCTTATATACGCATGGTAAGAAGTTTAGTCTAATAAAAGATACAAATGATATGATGTAATACAACAAATCATATCCTTTTCGTTGTCAATATTAAATGAAGATAAAATGATTCAGTGTGTCACACTATATCTCTGTGTCTCTTATTGGAAAGTATATTGTTAACACTGAAATGACAGTAAAAATAATTGAGAAAAATCTACTTTAAAAAAATCTCGATTAAAAGAATTGTCTGCGTTCAACAGCAAATACATACATTGTAGAAATAAATTCTTATATTTTTTTATAGATATATGCAGCCAGCTACATAATATTTAGTGATCATCGACCAGAAGTTGTTTTTTGTGACTTGGTGTCCATCTGTATTTTCGTACTTAGATTGCGCATTCCATATGTAGTATTTTATTGTCATTATCCAGACCAGCTGCTCTCATATCCTGGTGGTTATTTTAAACAGCTTTACCGTATGCCACTGAATTATCTAGAAGAGATTACAACTGGCATGGCGCATAAAATATTTGTAAATAGTTGTTTTACAAGCAATGTGTTCAAGAACATATTCAAAAGATTGAAAATCAAACCAGAAATTTTGTATCCTTCCATTAACACAGATTTTTTTGATAAGACAAGAATAGTATCTATAGAGAGGGTAATTGATAGGAAACTTCCGGATGATAGTATTATATTGTTATCTATCAATAGGTATGAGCGTAAAAAAAAATTGTCTATTGCAATAGAAGCTCTTGCAGAACTAAAGAAACTTTTAACAAAGGAAGTATACAAGAGAGTATTCTTGATTATGGCTGGTGGATATGATAAAAGGATCGAGGAAAATGTGGAATATCACCTGGAATTGATAGGACTTGCAGATGAGTTACATGTAACAGACAAAGTAATATTCTTACGTTCACCCTCCGACATAGACAAAGTTTCCATAATACATCATTGTAAAATTGTGATATATACTCCACCGAACGAGCACTTTGGAATAGTACCTTTGGAAGCGATGTATATGGGCAAACCAGTAATTGCTCATAATTCCGGTGGTCCCACAGAATCGATAATTTCTGGAAAAACTGGTTTCTTAGTAGATTTATCTGGTGAAGCATTTGCCACCAAAATAGCTTATTTAATCACAAATTCAAATCATCTTGAGGATTTTGGTAGATCGGGTCAATGCAGATTTTCGGAAACATTTAGTTTCGCTGCTTTTAGTGCTCAATTAAATAAAGCGATAAATGACTTAACTGATGCAAAGACAAAATAAGATAATGAGAAATATTTAAGATTATTTTCAATTTTTTGCATGATATATCTACTCTTATTAAATAAGGAAATAAATGAGTATAATTTTTTAATATATTTATTTTATATATATTTTATATATATTTTATATTAATTAAATATACTTGATTTAAGAGAGATATATATTTTCTGCTTGATTTTATTTAGCCTAAACTGCTTATTTAATTACGTTCTATAAAAATAAAATTTACTATAGGATTCATAGGCAAATCAAAAAAGACACAGTTGTATAACATATAAAGTTTACATGCAATGGCGCAGCAGAATTTGTGTAAACTTGCTGTCAATTAAAATTTTCTTATGAAATCGTTTCTATTTCGTATAAAAACTTTTGAAGCATAATTAAGCTTTAATAATCATGTAGATAATTTTCATTGATTATTTTTATATTACGCAGTTAACCAATATAAAGTTTTTGAAATTAATGAATTTTATATGAAGAATTTTGAAGTATATATTGAAAGAGTAAATTCAATAATTGAATTTTCTCACGTCTTATATTAAATAAAATTAGGTTCATTCAACATATTTTTACTCGCAGCTTTTTTGAAAAAGTCAAGTATATCTTAGTGCCAAGACACATTGCCATGTTTCTTGATAAAATTAGAAGCTACGTTAAAATTAAGAGCAAAACTAAAGGACATCAAAGACATATATTGTAAGTATTTTTTAGGGATGGTAGGTAATTTGTTATTTGAGACGCCGTTACTTTTCTAATTGTTATTTATGATTATAAAACGATTTGATAATAATTGAGTATAATGAAATCCAGAAATATCGAAAGACTTCAATACAATCGTGCAAAATTTTCTATAAATGAACTGGGCACTAATGAAAAATTTTCGTAACAAGTTTTTTCGATTTTTTTTTGTCAAATGTTATCAACTATATTTGAAAGTATAAAACGCTAAAAACAAAGAAAAACTATCATTGAGAACTAATCAGTTAATTTAATGTATAATATATATTAATTTTTGAACTTTGCGGTTGCATTTTTGGGCACTTCTTATTGATTCATGAGTCATTATGTTACGACACGTAAAATCATGATGCGCAATGATAAATCTGTCTTTACATCATGACTAGTATCCATCGAGGATTTAATCCAGATCAGAAAGTAAGAACCAACCAACTACAGTCGAGTATTTTTCTGTTACAATCAAACGACAGGGGAATACTCGATTATAGTTGGTTTTTCTGATCTGGAATAAATCCTCGATGGATACTAGATTTGACTTCCAAAATTCACTGCCAATGCTGAAAATATACAGTATATATAATGTAAACTGTAGATTTTCAGTGATGATTAAAGTGGTTCTGCACTCGTACCATGTCAGGGCAGCATTGGAGCGAAGTCAGTACATGTGTGCCAAATTCATCAGTAGATAATACTCAACGTCAGTACACTAGAATACGCAGTTTTTGATAGGTTGAAATCTTAATATTTATTTCTAATATTTCCTTCATTGTAGGCAGGGCCTTAAGCCTTAAATACAATGCGGAGGAATAGCGATAGGAATAATACGATTTCAATCTATCAGAAATCAGAACTACATTGGAATATACAATCTTGATAGATTGAAATCGTGTTATTGTTATCGCTATTCCTTCATTGTGTTTAAGGCTTTATACTTTCATAATCTCCAGCTATATCATTTAAATATTTTGATGCCCCAGATTAATGAATCGTGTTTCACGCGATAGTATCTTATTCAGTTAAAAAAAGTATTTTATTGAATTATACTATAAATTTTATAAGATTGATACTGATGTGAGAGAAAATTTTTTTTTATTTTATCTTTTTTTCTTTTATATTAAAGGAAATTCATACATATGTTAAGCGATATATGAGAAATTACTGGATCTATACATATGTACGTGTTTGGGTAGATGTATTCATATCTTATATATTTAAAATATACTCATATATTTTCATTATTACATTGGAACGATATCCGACTTAATATGAAAATATATAATTGCAGAATTATCTTGTCACTGTCAGTTTACATATGTATGAATATTATTTCGAAACACTTATATAATAGCACTTCGGAACATTCGTAAAACAATTATTGTTAAAATAGAAAATATATATTAATCAGGGTTAGGTAATAACTAGTTAAAACATTAAAAATTAAAAAAGTTAAAAAGTTAATAACTTTTAATTTAGTTAATTTTAAATTCATTAAATTTTAATTTAACTAAATTACTTTTAAACTAAGTTATTTTTAATTTTTTAATTTTTTTTTTTAAGTTAAACAATTTTTTTATCTCTTTTAAATATCTTAGAAAAATAATAAGAGATAATAAGACTAAGGGCGTATATTCGTAATCTGTTCATATTTTAAGACTATCTTAAATAATTTCTTAAGATGCTAATGCAGTCCTCTGATTAGTTTATGCGGTTATGCCTTATGCCATAAGCTTTAGTCCGGATTTATAATAGCCCTTAATTTTAAGCCTTAAGTCATAAGAAATTGACCAATTATAATCAAATATTCTTTTCGCATTCGATTGTAATTGGTCACTTTCTTAAGACTTAAAAAGTAATCACTGATCTTGTATCTCCTCTATGTACTGGCTGTTTTTTTAAAGTTATATAACTTATATAGTTATGTAGTTATGTGTTATATATGAATGAAAAATATATTCACATATGAATAAAAAAATTAAAAATTTAATTTACTTAATAATCTATATTGTAGCTATTTAATCTTATTTTAAGAAAAATTAAGACATTTTGATCTAAAAAATAATTTTTTTCAAAATTGACTTAACTTTTTTTTAACTTAAGTTAATTCAATATTGACTTAATTTACGTTAAGTTAATTTTTTATTTCTTCAAATTTATTCCTTTTAACTTTATTAATTTTGTAAAGCCATTAACTTTAACTTTATTCAGTTAAAAAAAAAAACATTAACTTGCTCAACTCTGATATTAATACATCGTAATTGAATCTTTCCCAACTAAACTTTTTCTCCTTTTTCTTTTAATATCTTTCCTTTAATATCTACATATTTCTACTAAAAGATAATTTAATTGTTTTTAGTACATACGTACAATACAATATAAATAACGATAAGATAAATTAAGAACATAAAGCATGTAATGCACTGACATTATGTAATCAGGTAAACGTTCCTCTGGAATTTTAAAATTCTTTATTTCTGCACCGTTAAGGGTATTATTACTGTGATAAATATTATGCTGTTCTTTATGTGTGCATGGTTCATATTGCAATTGATGTTCTAAACAATATTTAAAAAGTTTAAGAAAATAATAGCATGCTAATAATAATAATGCACATGATTGTATGTGGTTACTGTGAGAGAGGGGGGAGGAAGAGAGGGAGGAGAGAGTATTAAAATCGTTACATTACTGTAATTATGATTACATTTATGCAATCATAAAAACTGACGAAATACTATCAATCCTGGACAAATATAAAAAAGGCCCCAAAGGTCAGGATGTAATTGAGGAATGATGACATATTATCGACAATTGATATAAATTTTATTATATCTACTATTAATATTTGGCATACATTATTAAATTCATGATTTTTTGTTATATAAATGTTTCTTAAATAAATGTGCTTACTTGTAATGCTATAATATTTTATATGCCGCAAAATTACAATTTTTTCTCTACAGTTATGATCTCTGTTGATAATCAAATTTTGAGAATAACAGTGAATATTTTATAAAAAAATTGAGTATTATTAAATATTATCTTTTTAGAATCTTACCCTGTGTAATACAATTGTAATACTATTAAGATATAGTTTTGACTGCTAATTATTATGTTCATGACAATTATAATGAAACGAAATATAGATTGTAGTTTCGATGGCTGCTATCTTTCTCTTTCGAGAAGTCACAACTAATATCGTCATACAACATATATAATAAATACTTACATGACAAATACAAAATATTATGTTAAATAAACTATTTCTTTTGATATATACATTTATACATATTAGTTGATGTAATCGGTTTTCTTTTCGGTGGAATATAAATTTAATGAGGATGGATACATATGAGTAATTTATCCGAATATGTTTGATATATTCTGCTATTAAACTGTTAATAACTATTATACTTTTAATGTATATACACTTTAGAAAAGTTTTATACATTTTTTGAGACATTTTTTTAGCCATTTAAGAAGTATTTACATTTAAATTTAAATTGATTATTATATGTACGTTTATAATATGTATTATATTTTATGTAGGTAAATTTATATTACGTTGAATATTGATAAAATTTTCTATAATTTCCTATACTTTCAACCATGAAGGCCACTATATTTTATGCTTTACAGCCATACATGCGCAAAAGAAAATCGAATCCTTCATTTTCATTAACTGTCATGTCTGTATGTACTTAGGCTAAATTACATTTATCGTTTTCTTATATTTACGCGTTTTTTACACTTACCCGATATATACTCCCAAGTTTTTCAAGTTTGTTGAAAAAGATCTCGGACGAAGCTTTCTGTCCTGCAGCCAATTAACACGCTTAAAAATTTTATTGTACGGAAAATTTTTCAAGCGTACATTTGACGTACATTTTTTTCTTTTTTTGAAAAGATTTATTTATGTCGCATTAATAAAAACATAACAAGGCGAATTACACATGTAATACAACCTGCCCCATTATGAAATAGTCACAATTTATTAATGTTAAATAAATTAAAATATTTTATATTTAAAAAAGATGTGTAATATAAATGTACTGTAATGTAATATAGAGGTATAGTTTTTGATAGATCTTGTTGCACTATTTATTCGGAAATATCTAACAACTTGCTTCCTTTATATAAATTCACGTAGTATATTACGTATTTTTAAATAATAATAAATATTTTTCTTACGAAGTTTTTTAAAATTGATATGAAACTGAATTGTTAGAAAATATATTTTAGTTTAATGTAACAAATCAATTTAATTTAATATAAACAGGAAATTAGAAGGAAAAAATAATATTTTGTTATAGCAAATTACTCTTTTACATTACTTATTTTTGCAAAAGGTATTCAAATGCAATATAAACTTTTTCTAGTTGTACATAACTTTTTACATATATTTTCAACCTGAAATATCTTATTTATATGGTATAACTTGTCACGCGGATTGTATATAAAAATATGAATCACATTGAAGAAATATTACGTTTATTGAATCCCATTGTAAAGTAACGTTGGATATTAAATAAAATATTTTAAATTGCGCAAAGTTATGAATGAAATAATCGAAATCAATTTAAATACCAAGAAATACATTTATCTTTATACAAATGCAATTCAACTTACGTCTTACTTCTATTTTATTATATATATATATAGTAGGGATAATACAAAATATATTATAAAGCTATTTCTTTGCAAATGATATTTTCATTGCATGGGAAGGTGTAATTTTAAAACCTTGAAGAGCATCTTTTGCCGCACCAGACTGAACTTCATTTTCAAATTCAACAAATGCGATATCATGCCGATTAGGTACTAAGCGTACTTCTTTGAAGCCCGGAAATTGATTAAACAGCATTGATAACATCATTTCACTTGTCTCGTCGGGCAGATTTGTTAAGAACAATATTTGATTAGGTGGCTGTTCAGGAACAGCGGCATTGACAAGTCCTGAATGTTGGGGTATACTAGCATGATAACCAATTTGTTGTGAATGTTTGGCTTGCTCTTTTGCACGTTTCTTGGCACGTTTGGCTTCTTCGTCTGCTACTGGAATAACTCGTTTTGGTTTCTTTGGACGTTCTGCAAAGGTGCCTTTCATTTTAGCGATTATATCGCTGTCAGTTTTAGCATATTGTATTCTCTACAAAAACAAAACATTTGAAAGAGATTATTTTTATATTTTTATACACATGTAAGGGATACAAATATATTTATATGAATTTATAATATGCAAATAAATGTGCACATACATGCATACATACACACACACACACACACACACATATACACGCATGCATGCATGCACACACGTACGTACACATGTGCACATTAGAATATTCTTAATACAAATATAAAAAAATATAATGTAAAGATAAAACACAATCATTTTTTATAGTTCTTACCATTGGTTTGTCATAGAATGGAAAACCTTGCATTGATCTTAAGGCGTTTGTAGCACTTGCTATTTCTTTGAAAATAACAAACGCTTGTCCACGCATCTTTAATGTTTTTAAAGCTACGATATCCAAAATTTGACCAAATTGAGAAAAAATAGCATACAATGATTTCTTTAATTCTTCCTTTTTAATCTTTTCATTTAAATTATTAATGTAAATTGTATTATTTGGACGAATATCCATTTTGACCAAAAGTCGATGTTAAATATTTTATCTTCTGTAAATAAAAATAATGTATAAGATAAACATTAAATATGTACATATATATCTATATATGTACATATATTATACATTATATATATAGATAGGTACATGTATACACAAGAATTATATATATA